AAGTGTTATTAGTGAAATGCTGTCTTTCTCCTAAATAAATATGTTCTCGTTAGTTTGACCCCTAATTGAAGCACCGTGTGTTAGCCTAACACTTTTAAACTAATCAAAATAACCTTCCCTCTCCATGATGGTGGGCTTTCTTCATGTGGTATTGCAGTAACAATGTGAATGATTTTACAGATTTTATTGCACTTCCGTGATTTATTACAAGTCCAGCGAGCTCTGACATGCACTGGAGTCAGCAGCTTACGGGTCAGAGCACAGGTTAGCCCCAGAGGCTGGTCACTGAAATGGCAAGTTTGCATGTGGTTGCATTAAATAAATAAAGTTGTTGCTCATATACAGCTGATAAATATAGAAACCTCAGAAAATAGGTTTTAAATACTGGGCTGCAGTTATGAGATTCTCTTTGTGATCTTAAAAAATAATCTTTATATTAACAACATACTGCATAAACTTGTTGTACAGGTCAAATATACTTAAAAATACTGTAACTGTAGATGGTGTGTCCCATAGCTCTAAACATACAAATTGTTGCCAAAATTAAATGGCGATTCACTCCAGTGTTTTCCTGCCACAGAACAAGGGCCTCTCCTTGCAGGGTCGTTCCTGCTCAGTGCAGATGCTTTCTCCTTCAGCGTCTGTCCAGTCGTGCAGTCAGAGCAGTCTTAATCCCTTGTTGGTTTTTAAAGATGCTGAATGAAGCTGCATGTGGAGGACCTGCAGAGCTGCAGCCCTCACCAACAGCTCAACATAGAGGTCTGTAGAGGAGAATTCTGCCCTAACGTAGTTCTGCTTTGCACCCTGATTTATTTTATATATATTTTTTTTTCTTCATCTGTTTGCTACACCTGAGCACTAGTAATAGTGCAGGTTACTTAGATTTAAAATTGGAATTGCCAGTGAAGAAGACTTTGTCCAGTGTCTGCTTTTATAGAAAGTTTTCATTTATATGTAGGAAATCTGAAATCACTTAGACTTGCATAACAACTTGATGAAGGGTTGTTTTCTCTGGAGCCAAGGATGTCTCTAACTTGCTCTGCTGTGTGATATTTTCAGACAGGGAGTGAGTAGCTTTAAACAAGACTAGAGAAGTAAAGGGATTGGAGTCAGTCCTTCCCTGTTTAGCATATAGCTCCTAGGCATATTTAATTGGACAAAGGTGGTCCATTTCATAAAAAAAAAAAAAAAAAAAAAAAAAAAAAAAACCTACATATCAAATATTTGATGAGATTTTTTAGACAAAAGAATGCCTTTTACCTAGGGCCATTCTATAACACCACATGTGCAGGGAGTGTGGGACATATGCATGTGTCTACAATCCACATTTTGGAATACTAGTGGATTTAAAATACTCTGTGGATTTCTTTTTTTTCCATGTGTATGGCAGACAGATCATATATAAAGTTAATATCAAGTTAATGTAGATGAAGTGTGGTTTGGTTTTTTTTTTTTTTCCTTAAGACTTCACATGGCAGGATTGAAAGCTCACATGGAGTGTCCCATAGATAATGTTTCTGTGTTGCAACATTGGCTCTATAAATAAATGTGAAGTATTGCAGTAGCAAACATCACATTTTTTTGAAGCGCCTACAGCATGTCATTACAGATGGATTGATAGTCTTGATAACATTGAACTTTTGTCAGACCTAACCTGGCAGACTTGTTACATGTCAGAAATTTTCTGTCATTTTTCTTTCTATTCAAAAGGCAAATATATTTGCAACCTTGAGTGACATTGAATATGGAAAACAGACAGAAATTTATCATTTGACAGAATTGTTTTTGTTGGCTTTTTATTCTTTTTTTACAGTGGCAATGCTGTCATTGGATTTTAAAATTCTGACTATTCTGTATATTAGGAATATAGAACGGCTGATTGTGGCTTATAAGACTTACATGAACCGTCTTTTTACAAATGTAAAACACATTCTTTATTACTTCATGTTCAGATCATTTATTTTTGTGCTTCTTGGACTGAGGCGACATCTGACCTTTATTACTGAGTTCTACAAAACATCCTGGCAGGGTACAGGCAATGGAGAAGGTCTTGTCCGGGAGAAAGTACAGCGAAGGATGCAGATGCTTAGAGAGCAAATTTTCATGACACTAAGGTTAAAACTAGTACAATGTGAATGTATTCCTTCAAATGGGAGTGCTTTGTAATAGTGATAAAGCTGTATCAAAAAGCTTATTTTGCTGTCTTAACATAAACTATATTTTAATTTCTGAGTTATGATTAGCCTTAAATGACACTTTTTAGAGAGACATGTGGATGAAAAGTCAGGTTTTCAGCATATAATAGAAGCAGCAGTGGATTTCTGGTGTAAGAAGCAGCAAAGAAATGGTTGAAAACGCTTCATCAAAGGATGAAAACAAGTATTAAGGTAGGGACAAGGAAATCCAGGACAGAGCATTAAGAAGACAGAGTGTTGGAAGAAGGAAGATGAGGTTCATCAGTCATATAACACCAATACTTTCCTGGAGACAAAACTCATAGGTAGACCACAGCATTTTATGCTGAACAAGAAAGAAAAATATTTCTGATTGCTATTAGAAACACGCTGCAATCAAATGGAAAAACATTCTATGCATTAGTATGCAATAGTGCTATACACTTCCGAATGTATTATACCCTAGTGAAATCAAGAGGATAATGATTAGCTCCTCAGCTAGAAAGGTTTTCTTCCAATATTTTGGTACAAAATACAGACACTAGTGTTAATAAATTGGGCTGTATATCGTAGACCACATCACTTCGTCAATATTTTGTGCTAGGATATCATGTAGCATAGTAGGTGCTAAACACGGTGTAGAAGAATAAAGTAGTTCTTCCCATTATTTTCTTTAAAAAATAAAAAGAGCAAGAGATTTTATTAGTTTTCAATACTATTAGTATAAATAGAAGTCGAAACTGTGGAGCAGGGTTATTATGTGGCTCATTACTTTTTATTACCACAAGGCACATCAAGATGTCTCCTAGTTAGAGGGAGTAAATCATTTGGAACATGCCTGTTTTGTCGATCTTCTGCATGATGCTCAGCACTAGCATGTCTTCTTCCAGTGCTTTGAGGAATATGTCTCAAATCTGTCGCTTGTCATATGTTCTCTCTGTCTCTTGCTGAAGAGAAGTGAACAGACGAATGTCTTATTTTGGTATGATTTGTTTTTGCATTTTTGGGAGGGGGGGAGTGTTTTTCTTCTGAAAAGTTTCTGTCTAAATTGCATTCCCATGAAATGGAGAAGAGCTTTGCCGACTTCACATGATTTAGGATTTGGTTTGTTGTGTAGCTCTGAGATAACTGAATATTTTTTTAAATGTAACTTGCGAGTGTTTTTTAGTATCACTGAGGACAAAGAAAGTTTTGCTGTGTCAGTCCTTACACTTAGAGCCATAGAGAAATGAGATGGGTTTAGTGAGTTTGTGCCTCTTCAGCTGCGTTTTAGTAAATATTGGTGTTTCATGATACACTTCTATTTCAGCTTTTTAGTAGTCTGAAATCTCCCCCCAAACTTCTTTTCATCTGTTTTCAGCCAGGATTAGAAATGAGCTAGTAAAGTTAATCTCAAACTCATAGAACTAACAAACCTTGGTAAGGATTGCAGTTGAAAGGCTCTCATCTTTCCTGCATGAATGTGAAATTCTTTCTTTTTTTGATTTGTCTTTACAGCACTTTGTATTTCTTTTGACAAGAGTCTAATTAGAAGATTTTTAAAAAGCTGCATTTCCCCATTGGAGATGCAGAGTGCTGCTAATATAAAGTAACTGCTTGTGATTTTTGCAGTCACGATGATGCTTATCTTCTACTGCTTAATCTTCCTCCTCCTGCTTTTCTTGCTCTCTAGCCTGAATGTAATGTGTGATCTCTACCAGTGCCAAAGGCCTTGTGGATGTGAGATCTGTCACCTGTGTCCTCATGCCAGGCTTTGAAAACGTGGTGTGTCCCCTTAGCCTTCCTTGGCTTTCCCCTTACCAACATGCTGAGGAGGTCTACTCTGCCACCAAGCCAGTTCAAGACATTGGCCAAAAAATATTGAAAACAAGACACCTGCAGCCCTTTATCCTTCCACAGGTTCGTTGCTGTCCCTGCTTACCCCTGCACTGATGAATTATGTGTCTGGGTGACTTTAACGCTTCAGAGAGAGCAAAGCAAGCAAAAAAACCATCACACAAGTGTGCGTTCCACAACACACAGAATCAGTGCAGGAAATACCTGCTGGTTTTCTTACGTATACTAGTCCCATTTGACAAATTTTCTAGTTTGGAAATACTTCCATACCACCTACTGTCTCTGATTCTGTTCAACAGAGCAATATTACTGGCCTGATGATTTCTATCACATTTCTTCAGAAATTCTTATGGAGGGTGTATAAGTACAGGGGTTAAAAAGCAAATGTCTTTGCTATTGATTTTTCTCTGACATTGGCTAGTCTATTCACTTATTTATTTATCACATATATATGTGATTCTTTAATGTTCTTCATTTATAATGTGTAAAGCTCTATTTTTGCATGCAGGCAAGCACTGACTTGATCAGGTCAATAAGTCAGGTGGATAGTTATGAGTGCACACATATCTAAAGGAAAGAAGGATCTTAACTGATTTAGAATATTACCATCTTTCAGAGGTTTCTGATCTCTGCCATGATTGCTAGAAGCAGAAATAACAGTATAAAGATTATTCCTGATCTTGTAGCAAGAATTGGGAAGTTGGCAGGTTGGGTAGGGCCTGCAGCTGGAGCTGGGTGGACTCTGCAGCTTACGTGGTGCAGAAGAGGGGGAGGAAAATCCCACCATTGCCCCTCTTGGTTGAGTTGGGGGGCACAGCGATGTAGCTAGGAGCCACTGCTTCTGTGGTTGCCTTCAGGGTCCTTAACTGTATGTCTCGGTAACTTTCTCATTTTATCACATGAGAATTGTACACGATTGTCCTCAGATAACCAAGTTAATGTGGTCAATGCCCACTCTTTACTGACTGCTCTATATTTTTCTTCCAACAGACGTGAATGAGTGCACCACTGAGAACGGTGGCTGTCGTGACCAGTGCTGTAACACCATTGGCAGCTATTACTGCAAATGTCCAGCTGGCCAGAAACTGGAGGAAGATGGAAAATCATGTGGAGGTAATGTTTGTACTGTGTCTCCCTGCTATTAAGAAATCAGGTAAGACATTAGAAAGGAAAAGGAAATGTTAGCTTTTATCTGGAGCCAGCTGAGGAGCATATACTCAGAATTGTGAAGAATGCAGATGTTCTCATGTCTGGATTATGAAGATGTAACTGTAAGAACACTTCAAAGGGTTGGGTTTGTGGGGTTTTTTTTTGAAAAAAATGTTATCATTTAACCTGGATTGGCTGTGCCATGTTCTGATTATGGAATTTCCATCACCAGTTTAAAAACTTGAAGAAAGTGTATCTGTTTGATAACATTTTGTCTGTCTCTAAAACAAAATGGTTCTTATCAGAAAATACACATACATTTTTGCACTTCAATCGCAATTCCACAGCTAGAGATTAACTGAATAAAAAAAGATTTAAAACCACATGCTATGTAAACCCGTTTGTCTTCCTAAGGGAAATAGAAGTCTAGTTAGTGCATTATGAGGTAAAATTTGTTTTTATGCAAAAGCTTGACTTTGTGTAGAAGCAAAACATCACGTAAGCTTATGTTAGAACACAAAATGAATTATTGTTAGACTTCTTAAAGATGCACTGGTAAACATAGAGTGGGTGTAAACAAGTCCTGCTGACCTATGGTCACTGCTTTTTTTGCATTATCGGATGTTGCGAAAGGTAGAGGAGATCAGGTGTAAAGCAGCCGAGGTATTCTGCACTGCAGGCCAGAGCAAGTCCTCCTTCTTGAACTCTCCTCTAACGCAGGTAATGAATGTTCGCTGCCATATGATCTTGTGTGCACTGGCTGTGTGCCTGGATTGCACCCTCAATTGCATTTCATTGCTGCAGTAAGTATATCGTTGACGTTTTTTGATTATCTCAAGATGAAAGGCACTAGGTAGGTTTTAATGAACTGTATTATCATCTTTTCACAAGAAACCATCTTCTCTGACTCTCACAAATTCTCTTCTTCCAGGATTTCATTTTACCATTGTCTTTCAACTCCTTTCTTAAGATTTGCACAAAGCAATGTATTTCTTGGCTGTGGTCATATGCTTTATTCTAACTTTATAATTTATTTGGCTGCACTTCTTTTTTCACTAGAAGATGGTAGAATTATTTTTCACAGCAACCTATCGTTTGATCTCCAACTTGACAGTGTAAATAAGCTGTAGATGGTTATTTTATTTGATGGAAGTTTTTCATTATGGTGCTCCACGCTTTCATTTTGCCCTTTTGAGAGCTCAAGCCAGCAATGCTATGGATGATTCACAGATTCCTGCTACTTCACCTCAGCCCTCTCTTACCTCTTTTGGGGACTGGTTGGTAATATGCCCATGAACCAGTGTATAGGTCACTATGTTGATGACTACTTACTGCTTTCAGATCTGTATAAAAGCTGTCTAACAATTAAGGTTTTGAAAACAGGGCTCCTACTCATTGTTTTCCTAAATTGCTTGGCATATGTCATGGTTTGAGCCTAGAGGTCAACTGAGCACCATGCAGTTGCTTGCTCATCCCTTCCCCCCCAGGAATGGGAAGAAGAAAATATATAAAGAGTCTTGAGAATCGAGATAAGGACAGGGAGGGATGATTGACGCATTACAGTCGTGGGCAAAAGACAGCCTGACTCATTAGGGGAAGAAAAAGTCCATCAATTTAATGCAAACACTAGCAACAGCAACGCTTTGCAGAGTAGGACAGTGAGAAGTATAACCACATCTTAAAAACACCTTCCCCCCACCCCTCCCTTCTTCCTGGGCTATGCTTTGCTCCCAATTTCTCTCCCTCCTCCCTTCAGGCACAGCCCTCTGCTCTGCTGTGGAGTCCTGCATGGGCTGCAGGTTGGCATCTGCTCCACCAGTGACCTCCATGGGTGGCAGGACAGGGCAGCCCTTCTCCTCCTTTCTTCCGCTGACCTCAGTGTTCACACAGATGTTCTCCTTGCAAGTCCTACTCAGAATTCCCACTCCTCCTCCCAGGTTCTGAGATAAATACGTTATCTCAGAGGCACAGCCACTATCACTGTTTGGCTAGGCCTTGGCCAGAGGCGGGTCCAGCTGGACAGAGGCAGGAGCTGGGGGAGCTTCGAGAAGCTTCTCACAGGGGGCCACTGCTGTAGCCCCCTCCCCAGCTACCAAAATCCCCCCCCCCCCAAACCCAGCACAGATGCAAGAGTCCCATTTCCTTTAAAATAGTTTTATGCTAATAAGTTAGTTAAATTATTATTCCTTCTGCACAATTCTCTATTCTTAAAATATACTTTAAATTCTAATATCTTGACATTCTTTAAAAACTAAGAGCTTAAGATATTTGATTCTTGTACTATATCCTATCTAACCAGGAATTACAGGAGAATATATTATTAGCCATTTTGAAGCCCATTTTTGAAATCTTCAGATAAAAATGGAAACATACAATAAGATGGAAACGCTCAAGTCAGAACAAAGTGAGTGTAGCAGTGACACTAATTACACGTGATCTTTTGTGGAGATGATCATGACAATGAGTGCCTGGCTATACTGACTCACAAGAAGGCCAGCTTCAGCCACTTTCTAGCCATCATATATTACAATACAAGTAAATCAGTGATTAATTACTACGTAAAGGAAAAGTGAGCTTCCAAACAAAACTGTGTGTGCTGCTGTAAGGTGCTGGTCTTTCAGGACATGTCACTGAATTCGTGTTTTATTGATGCCTCTGCATTGCTCAAAGGGGTCATCTTGCCGATGAGAGTAAAACAGCTTCTCATTCAGGTTAGTGGTTTTTTGAGGAATAAGGCTTATAGTTGTTCTGGGTAGTTACATTCTTTCTTTTATAGCATCATTGTGCTTTATGTTACCCCTTAGTCTAAACTCGAGCGTTAAATAGATGTGTCCTATTGTTCTGCTCCCATTATCTGTCTCACGGTTGGTTTTATTTCACTGGTGACTGAAATGATCAATTGGTGTACAGGGTTTTTTATAAGCCAGGGTACAAATAAGGTGTATCATTAGAAAAGCACCATGGAAGTAGTACAGATTTTATTCAGTAAGTCATTATTAGTGCAAAGATTGATTCTGTTTTTCAGGAGCAAAATAGAGCATCCTTCTGACAAAAAGGAAAGATGTTGTCAGGAAATAACTATTTATATAAAAAAAAAAAAGGTTCTAGCTATCTGTAGCTGTTTAACGCTAAGGAAGGGAAAGTAGATAAAAATTCACTAATCCAACAACATAATGAAGTGTACTGCTGATTTGATCAATAATAGCTGGGGGTTTTGTGAGCAATTTTAGGAGGCCTAATTTCACAGCTAGAATGAGCTGAGGATGCTCAGCATCTTTGTTTTCTAGGGTGTCAAAGGTGCGTGGAAGACACAAGGCTCCATGAATATGAACAAGACAACATCATAAAAGAGGCAAGATAATCTTAAAATAAGTTATTGCTATCATCATTGACTAAACCTTCCCTTTCTTGGGTGGTTCTGCAGCTGGTTAGAGCCACATGGAGAAGGGGATAGAGCAGCACAGCCTGGGACACCCCACGCTGCAGGGTTTGTACTCCTTCCCAGGCCTGTCAGGAGCTTTTCAACCAACTGGGGACTTTTATGGCAGGATATATCATACGGAGTTAGGTGTTATATAAAGTCTTACTTCACTTCAGTGAGGGACACTTAAATCAAGAGGCAAGTTGTAGTAAGTTGAAGGCACGTGCATCTATATAGAAATGCCAGCCAGAGTGGTGAACTGATTAACCTTTCAAAACTAATTATCTACATGTTGTACTGCAGATTTTACTCTCCAGTGTTCATGGACAGAACTTCAGTTTTCTTATCTGACAGAGAAATATTTTCTGGCAGATAGTCACATAGGCATTACAGATTTTGACAGAAAGCTCATGGTTACCTCTCACTTTTCATGTGTCTGATAGAAATTAATGATGAGAAAGGATTTGGATTTGTATCACTGCATAAATAATACAAGAAATTAATATTTGACATTTCCTGGGGTATGACTGTCAGCCTGATTCTGCACCCTGTGCATCTGTACCGGCGTTCGGTGTTTTGGGGGCAGTCTGGTCAGTGTCCGTGCATGGATTTGCTCGGGAAGATGTAACTTGGTCTGAGGAAGGGAGAGGAAATACTTGTGCAATACTTGTCCTTATTTGTTAAGCAGAGGTACCTCTGACTTCTTATGTCAGTGAGATAGAAGTTCTGTGAGATGTATAGATTTTCTCATTTAATATATTAACATGAAACAATTCTGCTCAAACACCATAAAAAGCAGAAATGGTATTTTCTGAATGTAAATATTATCTTAAAACTCAGTTATTGGCGCAAGTCCAGATCTGTAAGGGATGCTAAAGCTACAGCTACAAAAGTGCGTTTTCACACATGAATAAGCTCCAGAAGTCAAATAAAAAAAGGTCATGACCTTATGTTAACCTTCTTTGGTAAACTGTCATTTCTTGTTTATATTATTGTGCTCTCATCTGTGGAGGCAACCGAGGAAGTTCGAGATAAATGAAGTCCTGTGATTAGCTGTTGATGAAAAGAAGCTTTTATTTTACTGATTAAAGTAATATTGCAATCACTGCAGCCCCGTCCCCAGGGGTTTCGATCAAACCTCAAAGTCCTGGTGGGTTTCCTGACCTTTGCCAGAGGGACTTTTGGAGCAGCTGTGTCCAGAGCCAGTGTGTGACTTTGCAAGGCCACCACTGTTTACCCCAGTAATGTAATAGTCACTGGTGTCGCTGGTTTAGCCTGACCCCAGGTCAGATGGGAACTCTCTAACCAGTGTTGCTGCAAAAGAGTTAATAGCTGGGCGAAAAGAAATACTGAGGGATTTGTCTCAAAGTAAGAAAGTGTTTATTAAAATGACCTCAGCATTTATTTAATCTGTAAGGTTTGAAGTGTAACTTATTCTTGTCAAACTCTGTTTTTGTCAAAGAGAACAAACATGCTAATTCTGCATTTGAACTGTTTTCCTTGCCCAGCAAATCAATGCACCAAGCTTCTGCTGTGTCCTGTG